CGCCCCAAAGCATGTGCAACAGGTGCAGCCGCACCCGGCAGCAAAATTTAAAGAGTTATTGAGCGGTACATTCTAGGAATTGCAGTGATTGAACAGGGTGGCGAAAAGCCTAGCGCCGACACTGCATATAAGCATACAGTAACAAAACTGCAAGGTAATCATTATATCTCTTTTCCCTTCAATAGACGTTGCAGCATATATATATATATATATATATATATATATATATATATACTAAGCATATCTCTGGACCTCTAAAACTATAAACGCCATTTTTAAACAAATATATAATCGCAGGCCGATTAAATTTGTTCCGTGGGCCAGATGGCGACCGCCAGACACAAAAAAAAAGGTACATACTCTGAGTACCACAGAGATTTTCACTGCCAGTTGAACTAACGTATGTGTGATCCAACTAAGCTGAGGCCGAGAGAGGAAAAAAAAGGAGAGATAAAAACCTGACGTAAATGTATGTAGGGCCACCAGAATCTCTTAAGTGTTTGGGTCTTCTTAAAGTCTGAATCTGTTAGTTTTTAAGACCATTATAATAGTCACTGTTGGTCTAAAAAAAATAGGTAGCAATGTATCATTAACTTTCTACGTATCATAACTAACTACATACCGTTTTCTCTCTGTAGCGTAGTAAGATATTTTATTTAATTAAGTACCTTACATTTCATTCTAACTAGAATCGCCCCTGTTTTCATCAGATATTCAGGTGGTTTTTCTTAAACTTATACTGACATTTAAGAGCAGAGATCAATAAAGTCTTACTTCCGAGTTAATACTCAGTTAGAATCATCACGACAGCCTTTTTTCCAACACAGAAGAGAGTAGCAAACAAAACGAAGGTGCCGGAAATCGGTAAAATCACATTCTCGCCACACCTTATCTTTCAAACTGCAACAATCTATTGCTTATCAGTGTAATTAAGCAAGTTTGTTTCCTAATAATTATATTTTAATACTTCTTAAAGAGAAAATTTTTTAATAACTTGTAAGTGCTGCCATCTATGAATGTATTCGAAAATTAGCTTCTGAGAAAGAAGACCGGGTCTTGCAAAATGTTATTAAATATTAAGGAGGTCGACAATTAAAACGTTAATTAATGAAAAAAATATCACTTTTGTATCTCATTTCAATTCATTTCCATATAGATTATCTTGAATATTAATCCAAAACTTTGTTTTGATTTACAAATTCTGAACTATTGAAGACATTATAAACTTGCTAAATTTGAAACAGTTCATTAGGCAATACGATGGTGAAAAGATTTAAATGATAAGTACTGCCGAAAGATGGGAATCAAAACTCCATTGAAGTGAAAAATTAAAAGTTCAGTATATCATGGGTAATTCGCAGTATATGACACTTATGATGCCATCTAGTATTGACAGATACTGACGATATTTGGAAAAACGAATGCAATAAAAAATTACCACTTAACATTGTAGAAGATGGTAAGATTTTATAGTTTCACATTTGTACTTCGAGTTTGGATCATAGTTTGCTAAGGTGCTATATATTTTTATATGAAGGGTCAGCTAATCAATCTTTCAAAGAAGTTGTGCAACTATGTAACAATTCCAATCCTCATAGATGTTTTTCCATGAATGATTGACCACGACGCATTGAGGATAGATCTGAAAAATCTTCTAAACAACTTAATTTTTTTGCGATTAGATGTACAGTAGCTCCTCAGAGACGTATATAAAAGAAAAAGAAAAATCATTTGAAAAAATCGTCTTTTAATTTCAATTGTTACTTGAGATTTTCTTCTGCAACAGGCTATCCATGGTTCCAAGTAAGTCATAGCGACTCATAAATGCATTCACTGCTTTACGAATGATGTATTCAGTAAACTATTAAATATTAACTTTCAATTTGAATATATTTCAGTTTGAATAATTTGAAGTTATAAAATATTGGTTTGGAATAAATAGATACTAGACTATTAAATTAAAATTTTTAATAAGAAGGACAATTCTGTATTTCAGTTAGATGTTTTAGAATATCAAGCCTAACAGTTGAAAGTTATGATATCAATTCTGATCTCACGTTTTCAAAAGAAGGATTTTGTATTTATTTTTAAGGAAATATTAGCGAAACTTTTGTTTCAAATTTTTCACTTTCAATATCTATAGAAGAAGATATTTGACACTGAATGTGAGAATTTTCGCTGAGCTATTAGAAAAGAGCTGAATCCTTGACATAGATTATTATGATTTTTTTGTTCATATGTACATAACAGTGGTCAAAAAATATATTTTAGCATGTAAAAGTACAGTGATTGTTGCTTAGGAGACAAGTTTATCCGGTAAAAATTCCGTGAGATAACAGAAGAACTACTTAAAGATCCTTAGATAAAAGTCTTAAATTCCTGTAGTTAGTTCTAACAATACTTAGACTTTCGCTAGAAGACTTTCAGCCGAAAAAGGGAAACATATTTAGTATATTTAGAAAAGAGAAATATATATTAGGGAATCATATTTTACTTATTGCAACGAAAGCATAAAATAATAATCTTTACTACAGTAACCCTTTATACTCTCTTTTATAGATACTGTAAGCAAGTCACTTTTATAATATTTAAAATAAATCAAATATCTTATACGATGTAGATTGGTAGTAATATCTATTTAATAAAGAACAAAATTTGAACGCTAACTGAAAACAGTACCATCTCATTGAAGTATTAAAACACTAAGTTTTCCAAATTAATAAAGTTATTAAAAATTTACATGGTGTAAAGCATAAAAAAGAATTTTATGTTTTACTTTATTAGCTTTGCTTTTTTGCCTCCTTAATGAAGAGAAATAAATTCTGATTATTAGAATATTGTTACGGTTAATCAATCCCTCAATTTTCAAGCAGTTGCAATTGATACTGCTGCCATCTACATGCAGACATCTAAACTTGAACCTGAATAAAGCTTTGCATTTTATTGATGACATACCTACTGCTGCCATCTATGAACACAACTATATAATAAGTCTAAAGATAACAGTTTGAACTGTAATATATTAAATTGACCACTAGTTTAAAATGTTTTTGTTAACTAAAATTAAGAACTGTACATTGTTTTCACTTGGCGAATTTTATGTCTTGGCAAAATAAAAAGTACTAGAGACATTTAAGGGAAATGTTTCATACAAGACACATATGCAAACAATCCAGAGAATTAAATGCGTAGCTTGTCTAGTCTTGAATAATTAAGTCTTTATTAAATAAATGCATAAGTGTCCATGTGGTGTTCGTGAAATAATATACATTAGTAAATTCATTTGCTACAGTTGAGTCTTACTGTTTCTAAGAGCTCGTTTTAAAAACATGATTTTATGTTTTGTTAGGTTAAATTAGATTATTTGAACAGGGCAATACCCAAGAGGGCTACATGTCCTTATGCCTTCGAGGAGGTCATTGCAAGGGGAACTGTCTTGTATTCAAGTTTCACATGAAGGAAACCATGCAACCATCCCGTTCATTTGGGTTCGACTCTGAATCTTGGGGATTTACTCTTAAACTATTAGACTAATCGTAAATGCTTAGCTTCAGACTGCTTTTAGCTTTAAACTGGAGTTTGTATATGAAATTTTGAATGCAAATTTTTAAAATTGTAAAAATTATAAACTTGTAAAAAATAGCATGATTATTTTTTTTTTAAATTTTGTGTTTTTTATGTTTCAAAATTTATAAAAATTTGTTGTTAATTTTTTGAAACTCTAATTGTAAACTTTCCGAAGTGTTACACTATAATCAGAAATATTCATAACAAGTTTCTTACCCGTTTCTTTTCTATGTTTTGTTTGTTTTTTAATTTTTTTTCCTTTTATTCTGAATAATTTTATTCATTATAAATCAGTTTTTTATGTTCTTTATTTTTTATGTTTTTTGTTTTTTACCCTTTTCAGCAATTATCATAGAAGTTTTAAAAAATGCTATAGTATGTCCTCAGTTCAAGTTTACAATATGAATAATAAAAGTAATTAAATTAATTAAAAAGTAAATTTAAGAAAGCATTGAGTCATTTTAATAAAAATAAAGTTAAAGTTAAAAAGCTTACAGGATTAACATAATATTTAATAGCAATAAAAGCAAAAAATTACTTTTAAAACAGTACAAAAAGTAAATTAAGGTGAAAACGTTATTATAAACAGTAATAGTATCGAGATTTAATGAAAGATTTCCGCCATCGCAAAATATCGTCTGCGCAAAAAGTTCGCGTTAGCACGTTTAATCATATTTTTTCAAAGGACTTTTGGCATTTGAAAGAAAGAGACTTACTGTAGAACACTGTATTATGTAATTTGTAAACAAAAGTGCTGAAAAGTGAAACGCCGTTTCATAGTGGACTACGCAAAATGGCAAAACGAAATTATTTGCACTTCTGGCCAAATAGCCCTTTTGGGCTAATGATATACTTAAAATGGTATTTTATGCTTTTTATTGTTAAATAATACTAGGAATGAAAAATTCGGCATAATTATGCATAATAAAACCTGTTAACGTCTTTTAAGCAATAAATAATAAATCAAATTCCTTTGCTAGAACTAGGTATGTGGAGCTACATATACCAGGAAATAAACAATTCCATATTGTTTTTCGTTCCGTTGCCACTTTATGGATTTGAATTTTATTATTTTAATAGAACTGATCTGGTGTTAAATATTTCCTAAATCTAATTTTTGAGGTTGTGTTTTGAGGAAAAAAAATATTTGCTCCGAGTATATAAATTTATGTAATTATCGCATAGTTTTCAAAACAATTAATTTTCATACGCTTAAAACTTTTTTCACAATTCCATCGACAAACAATTTTTAAAACTGCATAATAAAACTCTTCTAAAAATACTCAGAAAAATTCAGACAGTTTAATGTAAAAAAAAAAAAAAAAAAAAAAAAAAAGTCTTCAGCTAAGAACACTTTTGTTCTTGAAAAACAGAATTTATTACGCACGTAAACAATTGCAAATAAAAGTAGTTATAAAGCTGCTGAAGCATTGTTAATAACAGGCATCTATTTATTCTTCACAAGGTTTACTAAATAATCTGTCTCATAATCTCGTAACACAGATGGTAGGAAACAAAAGAAGCAGTGTTTTCAATACGTAATAGAAAATTTGCATAGAACAAAGCAGATATTATACAAAGCTTTCCCAGTTCTTAATGTCAGTGCTTGACAGTGTTATGAAAGAACTAGCTATGTCCAAAAGCAGCTCAATCCGTCAAAATACATCCGTTATGAAGAAGGTAAGTCTTAAAGGAGCTAAACTTTCGTAAGTTAATTAATATGAATTTAGTGCTTAGAAAAGTTTCAAATTTAATAAGCTTTAGAAAATTAAATATTTTTTTCCCTTTTACCTAAATTAAAATATTAAGTAGCTTGTGAAACTGTAACAGTGAACTAGGATCAATTTTAAATTATCCGGAATCTGAATCTGTTTCCGAAATGGTATTTTAATCTGTCGAATCTCAAATCTCTCAAATTCTTCATGTAAGAATAACAGTGATCATAAAAAGAAACTTTTATTCACTATTAAAAATTTTTAATTAAAGAAAATTCTGAATCTAAACCTGAAAGCTTCTCAAATCTCTTGAATCTGTAAACTTTCGAAACATTTTCGTTAAAAATAATAATGCGAAGAAAATAATAAACTTTCATTTAATATTAAAAGTGTTTAGTTAAAGAAGTAATTGACTCTTTAAAAGTTCTCAGATATCTGAAATCTATATAAAGAATAAAGATTTTAGTTATTATTTTATTTATTAAGAGGAAAAGGTTTTATTTAATATTAAAAGTTTTGAGTTACAGAAAAGTCTTAAATCTAAATTTAACGATACTCTTAAAGATACAGACTTCTAAAAAATTCCATATATTTATTAAAGAGATGCAATCGAAGTTTAATAAAGGAAATATGCATTCAAGTCTCTGGAGTCTTAGGGTTTATTTTCTCAAGATAATGTGGCAAATATATTTAAATAGCAGTTCAGATTTGTTGCATTTTTACAGAATCCTTGTAGCTCAAAATCTTTAAATCTAATTGGTTAAAATCATTCTGTTGAAGTTTAATTTTGTTAAGTTTGAGGCATGTAGGATAAATATTAGCTTCTTCGATCTTAAGTTGTTGAATGCAATTGCATCATCGACATATATGTTGAAAAAATAAGTACGTTGTTGTTGCAACTGAAATTCTTTTGTGAAAAGGGTACAGATTACAAATAACAGAAGTTATGCTCGAACCCATTGGTATAAAGTTGATTTGTTTAAAAAATGTGTTATTAAATTTGATGCAATTATGGAACAAAACACTTTTTAAGTAAGATGCCAATCTTCTTTTCCAATTAATTGTAAGAATCTGCGAAAACAAATCTGGTACAGTACTATCATTTTCTATTAAATGCAAAATAGTATAAGGATCTTCGAAGTCATATGAATTAATATTTGTTGTATCAATACTAAAGAGCTCAGCAGTCACTGAGTTTCGGAAACATTATAGCACAATGTAGCAAAATATCCTTTGTTAGGCGCTGTAAGAACCTGAGCCATACCTTCGTTTTCTTTCTAGTTTTACCTACGTAACGGATTGCAATTATATGGTAATTATCGTTACAATTTAAATAAAGGATAATATTTTTTTTTCTTTCGACAATATCTGTTTTTGTTTCGTTCTTAATACTAAATACAATTTATATGTCTGCATAATATTCTAAAAATAACACCTGGGAAGTAGCGTTTATTGTTAACTTAAAGACACACTGTATCCAGAACAGTCTGCATAGCTCTTATCAGAATTTCGAGACCTAATTCTTGAATTGCGCGTCGAATATTACCTTTAAGCACTTATCTAGTTGGTAGTTATTTGCATATACCTTTTCTTTAAAGTTACTCGAGTGTAAAAAAAGGTATGTTACCGTTCAGTCTGGCGACTGCGATGGCTAGTTAAAATTCAAAAATCCAGAGATGATATTTTTACCAAAAATTTCCATGATCCATTGTTGGTCGCTGAAACTGTTGAACTTATTAGGAAATTTTTACAACATCAAGTGCTTTCCAAACATTAAAGAATTTGCAGCCTATTCGATGTCTTCAGATAGAAGAAGGATGATTTTCAAAGGAAACTTGAACAATACTTGTTCTTTGCTTGATGGTGAACTTTCCTACGACAAAATGTCCAAGTGTTCAATCTCGAAGTCCTAAAAGAAAAAGAAAAAATACAAGAAAAAGATTATTTGCTATTTAACTCATAGCGTAAATTATTGCAATCTTCTACATCATGAATTTAAAATAGGCATTTCAAGATCGTAGTGTTCTTACCCTCGTTTACGCTCGTTATGAGTGTAGTGCATGGAAGGAAATAGGAATTTTAGCAAATTAGAGAAGTGGATCCTTTTCCCCACAGGGAATGCTGCCCACACGTTGCCATGTTTATGAACCATGGTTTGGGGGACAGAAATGGTCTTGAAGTGCTAAAGTAACACAGCTGTTTTTGCATAGTTATTTATGCAATATTAGGTATCATATGAATGGAATAATCTGGACATAATTTAGAGCATATTGTTGCTAATCTCCCTCCTCTGAAACTTATCCATCCTACAGGTCACACTACAAGTTTTCTCAGCTCCATCCGAATTTTCATGGAAAATTCCCCTCGCGAAGAAGCTGATCTGAAGGTCATTTCGCTAATATACTACGCATACACGCACATTCAGGTATTCTTTGAGATCTTAACTCGGCCCTAAATCTGTAATACTCAGCTCCCCCTCCATACCAATATAGAACCCATTTAAAGCATATAAGATGGCAGAAATGCAATATTGAGAAGTATATAAATTATTTGCAATTAGTATCCTCAGAAAAAAAGAAAAGAAAGAGAAATAAAAAGTTCTCCCACCTCTCCAGAGGGGCAAGATCATAAATGATTATACAAAATAATTCCTTTGGATGGGGGGAAAGGCACGACAGCCAGATTATAACAAAACTGAAAGATAAATAAAGCCGCAAGACTAATGGGAATTTAATGTTATTTAGACTAACTGCATAAGGAGCAATTCAAGCTTTTCAAATAAAATGTCAGAACAGCAGGTACTGTGGATAGCTCTGACCCTTTGCCAACAAAGTCTGGCTATTTTTGTTGATCTAATGGGGATTTATGCATTCTCATTCTTTTTAATTTCTAATTTTATGAACTGAATGAATAACTACTTAAAAATCGTTGAAATGAGATAAGTGTAAATTAGATTTTTTAAATTTTTTAATTATTTTTTTCTTTTCTGCAGCTTTAGCATATTCTACTATAAAAGCATACGAACAAACCAGGATTTAATTTTTAAACTCAAAAGTACAGGAGCCATTTGGAAGGCTTCAGAAACAGCGAGGATAAATAAATAAATGAAAATAACAGTAACTGAAACTGTGAAATGTATTACTAAAACGGAATCAAACTTCAAGAAAAAAAGCAAAAATATTATTAAATTAAGTTGAATTACTCATAAACAAGTAAAAACTGAATTTTAATGTCACATAAATTAGAAAAAGTATAACGCAAATGAAAAGTACAACACAAATGAAAAGCACTTAAATTAAGAACAAATTAAAAAATCTGATTTGTACACAACATCACTTCCTTGTACAAAATATTATATTATACGCAATTTTTCTTGCACTTCATTTAAACTTATTATATTGAATTAAATCGATAGTGCATAGACCACAATAGAATAAATACACTCTTTAAAATTCACTGTATTTGTTTACCATAGTGACATTCTGGCGCTACGCTAAGGTCCCTTAACAGCGTTACATTTCATTCATTTTATAACTCAGAATGCACAAAATTTATATCACCTGAAGAATTATCTGATTGTTGCCACATTTTCTATTCAAATATTATAATAAATCTAAACTAATGTATAAAAGAAATTAAACAAACCAAAAAAAAAAAAAAAAAAAGAAGAAGAAGAAGAAAAGAAAGAAAGAAAAGAAACAGTTTTCACAGACGATTCAGTATTTCTCATTCAATTACTTCAGTCCTTACTTCTCTACAAGGCTAAAATACATAAAACCTCAAAATATCTATATTAAAAATTATGAAGTAACACTTATTTCCTCGAATAAATTCCAGAATGGATTAAGCATGATTTAATTCGCAATAATAAAAGAAAGCGTTATCTTTATTGTTGCGAAGCTTAGTTTCCCTAGATTGGCAACAAATCACTATTCTGCCAAGTTATAAATATAAACAAACATGGCCGCCGTGGCAAAAAATAATTAGGCTTAGCCGCACTTAAGGAACTTTTAAATAGTTGATAATTCTTCAAATATTGCATACAGATTTTTAGTCTTTTTTTTTTTTTTTTTTTTTTTTTTATTGAAGAGAAATTTAATAATTCCTGAGATAGGAGAATAGGGTTAAGCTATAGTAACTCTTAACTACGCGAATGAAACAAGAAAATGTCCATTTTGACCACTCTCGAGTCCATTTGAAAGATTTCTTTTTTCTTTGGCGTGACTTCTGCACGTAACGACAGGATAAAGGATTCTTTTACCGAAAACGGATTGTAAAATGGATTCGGAAGATATTTTTTCGTGACTTCTTAACGTATGTACGTACGTACGTATATACGACGTAAAAAGGGAGTAGTGTAATCGCGAAAAGTTTCAGGCATCATATTTCAACGCAAATATCCATTTTTACCGCTATCGAAAGCAATTTAACGATGGCTTTGCGTGACATAAGTGCGTAAGGACAGAATAAAGGACTCTTTTCCCACCAAAAAAAATTATAAAGCTAATTTGAAATGAATTCTGAAGATAATTTGTCATGCCGCTCTGTGCGTACGTACGTATGCACTTACATATGTACGTATCTCGCATAACTCAAAAGCGAGTAGCTTCAGCACGTTGAAATTTTGTATATGGGACTGCTATAACATGCAGTTGTGCACCGCCCTTTTTGGTTGCAACAGGCCGAACGAAAAGTGTATATATGATATATACACCCACTCTTTTACCCGGCTTGGAGAACTGGATTTATTGAAAGAGAATTAATGAAATATGAGGAAATAAAGTTTAAATGAAATGCAGCAAAAAAAATTGTATAGTAATTTAATAGGCCGTACAAAGAAGTCATGTGGTGCCCACGTCAAATTCCTTATAGCCTGTAAAAAAGTGAGTCGTTTAAATTGAAGTAGAAAAGAATTCCATGGCACTTAATTGACACTTACATTGGAAACTCTCTATGGGTGAGATAATAATGTCAAAAGCGTTTTTCGAATGGCATTCCTCAGAAGATAGTTGCACGAGGAGTCGCTATGAACTCCATAAGATATAAATGATGAATACTATATCTATATAGAGATACATTTTGGTCATTACGTAGAAGTTTTCGAGATATGAGTGATATTATTAATACTCGTGGTCTTGTATTATAAGATTTAAACATCACAATGCCACATCATATAGGAAAGACATTCCTGAATATAAATCTTTGCGAAAACAATATGAAATATTAAGGTTGTAGTTTTGCAGAAAGCTCCAGAAAGAAAATGCAAAGCAAACTGCAAATTTACTGGTATGTATAGATTTCATTGTAGATGTAACTATGAAGAGTCATTTCATAATAATACTATAAAATAGGTATTTTTCTCTTTGTATAAATGCTGTTATCACAATGAGCAGAAACGGGGGGATGTGATATTTTTAAAATTATAAAAACTGCTTACGTGCTTAATAAAAAAAAAAAGAAGATTGTGCAATAGTACACCAGTATCTGCAGATGATTCGTTCCAGGATGTACCGGGCTTAACAAGGAATGCTATGTAGAATAGGAGATATTATGACATATATAAATGAGGTGAAGTTTAATTGAGAAATATGGCACATTAAGACGTTAATAATAATAATAAATAAAATAAAATGTACTGTATATGATTTCATGCAAGACGTTGCTAATACAATAATGCAAAAGTAATTCTCTGGAACTTTTGCTTTCTCAAAATAATAGGTAACACACCATGGGTTCTCTTCGGCATAAAAATCATTGGCAGCATCTTACGCTCAAGGCCCGTCCACCTATAAAGTATTTTCTCCCTTCTTCCAGCATGTCTTCCGTAGTGTAACGCTAGTACACTCGGCGAGTATCCGAGAACTCCAGGTTCGAGTCCCGGCGACGGTATTGCTCATTTATCATGTCTCCTGCTTCAAAATAACCTAACGACTCTGCACAATCTAGGGTTTATGTAAGCTAACGGAAACATCTAGCACAGCCAACGCTGCTCCACGGTATCGAAAAACCAGTTCTTCAGCTAAATATTCTGCACGTCACGTTGATATATGGAACAGACTGCGATTAAGATTAACCTTAGTATGTAACGTAAATAAGAAATTTCAGATGGCGAGAATTGAGATAAAATCTCATTTATGAGAACAGGGATTGTTAAGGGCCATTCAAATTGATGTTTATTTGAACCAAAGGAGTCAGTTCCATGTGTCGAGTAACTCCTGTATACAAAGTTCAAGTTTTTTAATAGAAGAAAAACAGTTTTTTTTCTCTGTGACAGCTGTGCCGGATGTCTCCGTTAGCTCAGCGTAGAACCCTAGACTGAATGATCCTTGACCGAGTTGAGAGAAATTGAGCAGAAAAATCTATATACGTAGGGAATGGAGAGCAGTCACGTGTTTATACGTAGGGAATAAGGACTATATACGTAGGGAATGGAGAGCAGTCACGTGATCACTGATAGCCGTGGTCTCCTTCTAACATTTTTATAGCTGTCATGGGGAAAAGATCAGTTACGAAAACTTTAAGTTAGAGCAGCGACCTGTTATCTGAGAACATACATGAAGGTTCCCAAGATGTCTATTTTCATCTTCCTTTCCATTTAGTTACATCCACCAAGAAAGTGTTATCACTTGGCGTACATTTTGAAATTTCAAAGCATTTTCCACTTTCATTGTGAATCCGCGGATGCGGAGGTACGGTGTATCATGTTAAGAAATTTTAATTACAATAATATTTACTTATTTTCGGATTCTTCTTTCGAACAACTGCAATTTTTATTTTGGATGAACAGCGGGTGATTTTTCAAGGACACTGTTTCAAACTGTCGGCATCTAAAACAAAGTAGTAAAAATTTAGTAAAATTTCAAAAAAAAAAAGATTAATTAAATTTTATAAATTTGGAATAATAAAGTTTTTTTACAAAGTCTCTTTAAAATAACATATATGTTTCGAAATGAATCATTCGCATTTTCGAAAATATTGCAGAAATACAGAAATCCAAAAATTTTTTGAAGGACTCACTTTGAGATAAGCTTCTACAATGACTAGAAAACATGATTCATAATTTCACCAGAGCGATCTCTGGCAATATTCCTTCCCGTGCTGCCTGAAATTTAGTAGGTAGAGTGGCCCTTTTGCCCCACTGTAAACCTCACTTAACATTGTAAGAATTATGTTAATTTTATTAACAATTAAATTTTAAGTTCCTTTCCTGTCAAATTCTTAACTTCAACTTACTACTTCCGGCCAGAACGTAGTTTTGGAATTTGCTGAATATTTAATGAGGAGGAGCGGTTATTTAAACCACGAGTTATTACTGAGTCAGAGAGAATCAGAGTTTTGATTTCGCGCGTCTGCCTTTTTGCCACTCTCTCTCTCAAAGCTGTTATTAGGCACGGCCGTACTCAGGCCCTTGCTAAGCTTCGTAGTCAATTATGTTAAGGGGCCAGCTCAATCTGAACCTTGATAGCTTCGGCTATACTTCTTTAGTTAATCTTAGTTTTAGTTTAATTCTTAGTCTTTTAAGTTCAAGCCCAAGTGCGGGCTTTGCTTGTACACTCCCAGGCGGAGTTTTGTTAAATCTTATTGGAAAAATAAAGGGGTAGTTACCCTTCTATCTTGTTGTTTCTTGTCACCGAACTCTAGCGATTATTCGCTTATCAGTTCTTAGATTCCTAACTTCCAACATTAACTTAGAATTCCAAAGTGAGGTACTCTACAACATTATAAGGCATAGCCATCTAGATTTACCCAATCTTGAGTTGAAAGGATATATCGCATTCCCATGAGCATGCTGTCAGAGTCTAAGTGCAGCTGATAAATGGAAGAGCCATGGTTCGAATCCTAATGAAAGTATACTTGATTTTACAGGTTTTCTGGTTCGAAATATCTAATGGTCTCTGTAATGGACTAATAAAATATCATGGATGGTAATTCATCACCACCTATATTTGATCGATTGGCTGTCGTGCTTCTCCCCGTTTGCCGTGGGAAAGAAAGCAAGGAATTTCCGTTTCTCCGTCCTGTGTGCTTTCTTGGTGTGAGCAGTTAGTTCATATGACTGGTACTTATAAGATCCATGGTTCGAATCCTGGAGAGAGTACAATTCATTTTTCAAGATTTCTGGTCCAACATGGTTAATCGATTCAACAATGTGACCAATGATTTAGATAAGCTGGATTTAATAACATCAGATACATTTAAGATATAATATATGAGATTTATTAACATAAGATAGATTTAATAATATCATCCAGCAAAATACTTCAGACGTACTTATTAGTGCACGGCTTTGTGCTACAGCAGAAACCACAACGCAGATTCTCTTTTTTACTTCTGAGTTCTTTGACATACATAATACTACATACTTCAAGAGACGAGTGACGTATGTCATATTTCATGCAACCATCCGTCTGCACCGGCAACTAATTGATAAATCATACTTAATGAAAAGTTTTTGTAAATTTCAGAGCTAGGTCAAACATTCAACAAAAGGGCATAGTACTTCCTAAATTAACATTACTGAATGAAATCTTTTTCTTGTTTTGCCCATATTACATGGAACAGTGGTGGCCAGAGCCTACTCCGAAGAGAGGTTGGACTTCTATCCCCCCCCCAGTTTTGAGAAAGTGCACCCCGGGGGGGAGAGTCCAGGGGTCTCCCACGCCTCTTCCCTTACACAAATCCACACGAGATTACTTTCGGTTCGCCACATATTTAGAGTGCCGCCATGCCGCACCAACACTATACATTTACAAACGTCCATGTCTTGGATTCGAACCCGGGTCCTTCGGCACCGTAGCAAGCTCTCCTAACCATGATCATTGTAGAACTGGGCAGTAACCAAGAGTAAAATGTTTAATTATTAGTGTAGAATGTTTATGTAGGTGCAACAACGTACGCATGTGTAAAACAAACATTATTGTAACAATATATTCCCAGTGTTTAAACTTAGATGCACATAAATTGCACCACGGTAATGTTTAATTATTAGTGTATAATATTTATGTAACAGCTGCAGTGTGTGCATCAGTATACAATTATTGTATTGTGTAAAATGTTTAAATATCAGCTTAAAATGCTCAAATTCCAATATACAGCGGCAACGAAAGTTTCCATTAAGTTCCTGACGCCGCGCTTCTCGCGTTCTCGAGTTGTACAGTTGTGGATTCCGTACGATACCCGAATAGTCCTAGTAAGCTGCCCGGGTGTCCAGATTCACTCTCACCTCTCACCTGTCCCTAACCACTATACTGTCTGGGCGACTAATGTGTGAAATGAAATCAGCAACATTAGACCACGATAAAGGAATTGCATAACATTCAATGAAATAGAGCTTCTGTACACAAATCAAATAGAATCGAATTTCATTTACAGTCGGGAAAAAAAATCTTTACTGAACACGGGAGCAGTTAAATTAGGAAACCTTACAGCAATTGCTTTTCAATGGACATTGCGTAAAATCATTAAAATATTGCGAAGACAGGAACAAAAGAAATCCCCAAGGTTCTAGAGAGATTTCGAACTCCAAATGTTCCATTTGTTAGCTGGACGTGCTTTGCTTTTCACGAAGGCACGCGTAAATTTGGAGACAATTCTACGTAATTCACTGACAATAAGTTAAGATGTCAGCTCTAAAATTAGAAAAAGGATACATCGATTACCTGGATATCTCAATTGATGAGATCTTCTTTCTCCCGGGAATTTTCTGAAAATTTTTCTGAAAGTTACAATATTTCGGTGGAATTGCGAGATATTTAAAAAAATTAGGATTTATAGGAAGTCTCAAACACTGTTTTGCTTTACTGTAACTGTGAAATATTCTTAGAGCGAGAAAACTAACGTAATTGAGGAAGATCGTATTTTAGCTGAAATGCTTTCAACAATTTAAATTGTGAAAAAAATAATCTGAATAGACATTAATTTTTTTAAGCGGGTAACACAAAATTCTACTCTTATCGTGATTCGAAAAATTATTAATGCAAAATAGTCGTTTTACTGTAATTTCCAACATTCCTATCCGGGGCACTTCTCAGACGTTTTCGAACTCCATCCCCCATTCAGTATGGTATTCCGAATTTGTTTCTCACGATTGGTTAGCCAAGGAAATCGAATCTGATTGAAGAAATTCGATCTCACGTGTTTGTACGAAGGGAAACTTTAGGCGTCATTGTGATTCCATAATAGGAGAGTTTCTTGAAACTACTAGTGAAGCGTAGCAGACGACAGTACAAACCTTTGTTTCTCCTGTCTTTTGCTCTTTTTGCTTAAAAGAACAAGCAAACTTCTAAATAAAGGAGTTTGTTCGAGTTTCAATTCAAAATCTCAGCAAATTTTACCTTTAAGAAAATCTTCATCAGAAGAAGTGCTTAGTGAAAATTTTACATAAGCGTTTTCTTATAAAAATATTCAAATATCTGGTTAATTATTCACCTAAATAACTTCTAATCAAATAAAGTTAATTAATTAATTTTCCGCCAACTTAATCAACCAGTCAAGCATAGTTGACTGCACTTAACTCTTTTTTTAATCTCTTTTATACATGTCTTTTGGATTTACTCAGTACACGTCTACTTAATAGAAACCGCATGCGCGTTGGCTGTACGGACAAAAACAGAATATACTTCGTAGGTGAGGTTAATTAAGACGATATACGCAAAAGATAACTGGAAGAAATTGAAAGAAATTGTGTAATGGAAATTTGTAAGAAATTGTGTAATGGAAATTGGTTTCAATTCATGTCACACGTAGGGAAATTCACGAAAATATCCGTGCAACCAACCAGTGCGTCGGGAACTGAGGCCGAATTACCTGTATTCAGCTGTCTTATCCGCTCGGTCATTGGTGGGCCAAAGGAAACTTCTAAATACATAGAGAAAATAATTTATATAATAACAAATGTAAATAAGTATTAAATAAGCAAAAAATCTTTCATTCTTTTATTATTTATTAATTTATATCTTTTAATTATCATTTAGGTTTCCCTAAATCTTCTAAACAAATAAATGTTTAGTCATAAGATCGTATTTGTGCCAACCCGAGCAACAACAAACGAAACTAGCTTTTCCCTCTGGTGTCGGTAAAACAGGACGTCATTCGCAAGAAGAGGGAAGACAGTTCAGGCTCACAGAAACGTTGGGCAATCTTGATATAAGTAATTCACCTCCGGAAAATTACTTGAGAATATTGTTGCGTTTCTACAGGATCATCGGTTTGGAATGATTGACGACAACACTTGATGAAGAATCAAAACATAGTTTATTTAGCCAGTATCACTCAGAAAAGCTCCAATAACACGTTTACAGTCGTGGAAAAAACCTACTATAAACATTAAGACACAATAACACGCCGAACAAATCCTCATGTCATCCGACTAAACAAAAGTTAGCTTCATTTTATTCCTATGTTTTCCGTGCTCTTCAAGTTTGCTCCTCCAAACTATCCCTTGATGAAGAACTAAATTATTTAAAAGCAATAGCTGTTGACAGGGGCTTTTCACCCAACATTGTTAATCAAGCAGTTAAAAAATTCTCATCTGAACACACTAAAAGGCACACTCTTGTTTTAGGAGATTATAAAAATTCTGTTGTTATTCTCTTCTTTGCATCAGTTAGCTATAAAGTTGCACATATTTTGAAGAAATTTAACTTTCGGGTCGTTTATTATCCCATCAATAAAATTCCGAGTTCCATACTCAAGGACCTCATTCCGGATATGAATTCCTGGAGTATTTATAGGATTCCTTGCCAGTGTGGTTTAATTTACATTGGCCAAACTAAGAGAGCCTTAAAATTCCGCGTCAAGGAACATGAGGCATATGTTAGAAAAAAGGGAACATTGTTGGTTGCCCAACATTGTTGGTCCGAAAATCACACTTTCAATTTTTCTGCTACCAAAATTATTCAAAAAAGATCTTCTATTGGAGAACTGGATATTCTAGAGGCATTTCACATTCAACAAAATCTTTCTGTTCTAGTTAACGATCCTAATTCCAATCCATCTTTGCCTTCGGCCTTTAAAGAAATAATGTTTTAGTTCTGGTTTCAACAACAGATGGCGCCACTAGCTTATTTTCTGTCCAGGCTTTCTTATCTTATCTGATCATTATACCCTAGCTCCTTCATTTGCGCTTTTGCAGCTGACGATGGTGGTTCGGTAAAACCATCGAAACTAGTCCTGTGAAAATTTGAAAATATAAAGCTGTTTTTGTTGTGCGACTTCTGAATTACTATAAATATGCTAAAACAATCAAAAACACATCATTCAGGCTATCAGGCTGTACCGGTTAAAACAGCTTCACGGCACAGCAGTAAATTACAGCTCCCGACTCGGTTCCGGTCGTTCTCGGAGCTCAACATACTCAAAAGACTTCACGATAAGAGTATCGATTCACTGGATACACTCGACAACCAATTCTACACTAGACACGTGCGATGCACTAACTCGCGATACGACTACACGCGTACAGGCAGAGTTTATATAGCTTTTGGCCTGCCTTCGAGAAATTCTGGGCCAAACCGGTAAGAATTCATTCCAGAATGTTCTCCATCCGTCTATGGCATATCGCCAAATGGGCGATTTCGCGGCAAATCTGGCAACTTTGCTTTTACATGCCATTTTCTGGCAACCTTAAACCGTCTTTGCGGAGAAGCTATCTTGCCGCAGGTGTGCATATTGTAACAATATTTTGACTTGTTGAAGAGAGGTAACTATATCATTTCCCCTCGGAATATTACATAAATCATTTTTATAAAATTATCGTTTTGAGGCTAGACGTCAATCTTCATTTGAAGCTTTACGCGAAAGTAAAGCTTAAATAAGATAATTTTTTACCAGAATTAATACCATATTTTCTCTGCTTAATATTATGTACTTTTATTTTAAATCTTTTGCTTTAAATTTAAAAATGTATTTTTCTTAGTTGATCAGAATTAGTTATTCTGCTGTCGTGTTCATTGAAAACATTGTAAGGATTATTTTCATTTCCTGATAGTTCTTTTTAATTTTAAAGCCGTTTCCTTTATTCTCTTGTTTCGCGCTATATGTAAATGAGGTAGAACCAGTATTTATGGGAAGTATCTGTCACTTCCGTAGAAGAGCTCAGATGTGCTCAGTACAGCGTGTTCTGCCTACTGGCCATGTTGTTTTTTAATGCAATCTTACTACGTTCGGTCGTACTGTTACGTGCCTGTTACTATTCGTCGGTGAGGTTTAATAAGGGCTAACTTTGTTAGTTATTTCTGTACAGCTTCGGCTAAGTTTTAGTTAGTTAGATTAGTTTAGTTTCCTATTTTCTATCGTAAGTGGTGGCTTTCCTGTAAGCCCAAAAAGGGCTAAATGTAAATATTCCTGAGTTAAAATAAAAGGGCATTTTAACCCTACTTTGGACTTGTTCTTACAGTTTCAAGAAGCCAGCGATTTGTCGCTACACACTTCTCAAGTATTCTAGTTACCAAGGACAATCAGCTTAACCAGAATCTTATAACATTATTCATGCTTCAATCAAATTCGATAAGAATAACCTCGAATATTGTTTAAATATCTATAAATTTTATTCTTAGGCAACACAGAATGTTTATGATGCAAACTTTATGTAAAATCAAAAGTAAAAAATTTAACGATTGCTTAGCATTCCAAAAATGAATGTCAAGACAATCAGAGATTTTGAATTCATTCCAGTTTAGGAGATTTCGGATTTTGAGAGACATATTCAGAGCTAAATTAACAAAACTGGAGCTCGGTCAAAACCTGCTGCTAAACCCTCTTTCTAAATTTTTAACGTTTTAACTCTCATTTGTGAAAATTATAGTTTATGTAAAAAATATTTCTTTAATCTTATAACTCCAATAACTAGCTAATAATTTTTCTACTAATTATCTAATAACTTTTCATTGTTAACTAGTTATCTAATAACTTTTCATTAAAAAGTTATTTAAAGAAAAGGGTGCATTTTTATCTTTTTCTGCAATATGTTTTCATGCTATCAGTTTCATATGTGTTATTCGAAATATAAAGTTGTTTGTTTGAAACCAAGATGTTCCTCCTAAAGGAAACTGAAAATAGGAGAAAAGCCTAAAGAATTCTTAAACAACATTATTACAAACTTAAATTGAAATATATGGATATGACCAAATAAAATCAATTAAATTGTTTATAGATTAAGCACAGGAATAAAATACAGAAATTTAAAAATTCGATTTCTTTCAAAATGTAAGGCATCGTTTCTTCTCTTGGTTTATTTCATGGTATTAATGTTCTGTAAAATTTAAAAAGGAGTTTTGAAATTGTAGTTATCATTTTTTAGCCCAGAAAGATTATTAATTTCATTCTGGCGTTTTGTGTTGAAAACTTTAAGTGTCCGTTTCACTTTTCAAATTGTTGCCACCAAATATTATCGCCCTGTGTTACATTAAAAAAAATTAAACAGTGAAGAATCTGCATAAATGTATGTATATTTCTCGCATTGTGATAAAATAACGGTACCTAGAGCCATCAAACTCTGAATCACGTAATCCTTCAGCGAATATGGACATTTGGAATTTGTTTAATTATTGATTTCATATTTTGCAATACTTTAACGAATTTTTGATTAACAAATTCAACGATTTCAAAACGAGCAATGGTAACACCGCACAAAAAAAAAAAAAAAAAAAAAAAAAAACAACACTTTTATCTCCAGGGCATGAGATTGTATCGGCAATTCTAAAAATATCCTCGTTTTAAAATTATTTTGCGATATTGCTGTTGAACTGAATCTTATAGTTTAAGTGGGAAGAACGTGATATTAAATATATAAAGCTAATACACAAAACGTTGAAAAAACGCCCCTTCGGGCGTAATGTAAAATCTGAAAGGGTTCAGAATTTTTTTTAAAAGCAGGAGACCTGAAAAATGAGCAATGCTGTCGCCACTACTCGAACTTGGACCTCTCGAAAGCGAGCTGAGTGTACTACCATTACACCAGGAAGGCATGCTGAAAGGAGGGAGAAAATACCATATATATATATATATATATATACTCCCCTTTTAAAGAGCGACTGCGGATTAGGGTATCCAATCTCTAAATTCTGGTAGTGACTAATTATCGTCCGCCACTTTTTAATTCGGATGCCACAGTAGAGTCATTAAGGATTTTTTTCCTTGAAGCAGCAAACGTGTGCAGTGCCCCCTCCAGAACTCGAAACATAGACCTCTCAAATACGCGTCGAGTATGGTTCTAGTTACAGAACAAGGCATGCGGAAAGGGGAGAAGAAAATACATTATATCTGTTTAAAAAAACATGTCATCTTACTCATTATAAATCACAATTTTAAAATCTATAATCTTAAATGAAAACGATTGCAGTTGTTTCTCTCCTTCATTTCTCATATTGAAATAAATAATAATAATTTCAAATAAAAAGACTTCATTAAGTTTAACCTTTTCCGGCACGCTACCTTTTAAAGTCGGAGTTTTTATATAAAAAAAGGTAGGCAGTCTAATTAGCCCTAGAGGATTACGCAAGTATAATTTTGTAAAGCTAGCACTTATCGTTTTAATTATGTGGGTGTGCTCAAAGTGAGCACACTCATTGAATAGAGCTTCGAAAAGAGTGCTGAAACGAGCACTATTGTCAATGAGCTGACCGATGAGATGCGGAGAAACAAAGAATACAGAGTCTCAGTCGTCCTAGATTATCAGTGAGAAATTTCTTTTCAAACAATTCCTTTTATACCCTAAAAAAAATCTGGAAGATTTCTTTGAAAAATGAAGGTCTTAAAAATCTAAACATGGCTAAAATATATGGACTGGTTTGTGTCGAGCTGCCATCTACTATAAATGAAAAAGGTTCAGAGTAACCTATAGTAAGCTATAAATCCTTTTTCATTCAATTTTTCTGTGCGTATAGAAAGAAATGTTTAGGTGTGTCCAGACCAGACACACTGTGTCGCAAAGGGTTCACTTGATAGAAATAGTTCACTAATAGAAAAAGTTCACTTGATTAAGGGAATGTAATAAAGGTGATTTGATTAACTAAGGGAACGTATGGACTATGGTAAAGTAATAATTTCTCACTTAATCTGCAATACTTTGCTCTTATAATAAATTAGCTTATGTAAACTTACTCACTATATTTCCTTAGCTTATTCTAGCCTAAGTGTTTTGATTAAAAATTTAAAATCGACCAAATTCTTTAAATTTTTAAACTAAGGGCGAAAAAACGCGTCTCCAAAATAGACTAGTTCCTATAGGATACCTTGATTCTATAACAGCTAGTTTGGGTAGTTAGTAATTAACGATTAAAATGGGCTGAAAGTCCATTGAAAGTGGAGCTCGGGGCATGTGCCCCCTTTCGCTCCAACAAAAAGAAAGCAGGCCTTAGATTTAGGTAATCCTTACTCAGATTCTAAACTACTAATAATCCTAACGATTGCTTGTTATTCCAAAAAGTATAATCCAGCTAGAATTAGATAAATGACTTGTTCCACTTGTATTTTTGAGATCTAGCACCACAACAAATTCGCAGATATGTATTCCCATTATTTATTGATAACCAGTAAATTTGTAGCCGCACTAATAATACGTCATCTCATGCACACCTACACTTGGCCCAGTTGGCCAGATGGCGGGAAATGTTCCGAGCGCAATCACCGTTTCACATCATTGCAGAGTGGCAGAAGACAGACACAGTTCGAGATACCATTCCCCCGGAACAAAAGTGAACCGGGCCTTGTAGTATTTGGTTGCCGAGGAAGTTTAAAAATAAATATCGCATCCACCGCTCTCTGTCTCTTCTTCAACGTTGAAGACTAGATTTGTTCTGTGGTCTCTTTTTTTCCGGTGAGTAAGCGAAATGCCTCTACATCTATTGTAAAGAAGGACACAGTTGCTACTCTTGTCCCGAAATTGGGGTTGGTCTCTTAAAAATTCGCTTTGAATCCAAAAGGAATTCATTGCATTTACTCGAATAAACTCTTCAAATATTCTCTGGTCATTTGAGAAGAAAATTAGTAATACTTGTGCTAAACAGATACTAATATGCAGTTATAGGCGACACATATACATCATTGCTCCAAGTATCCGTACTATCTGAAATTACAACTCATCTGGTTATTTGAAAAATTCGGATATCTTTTCTTTTCGTTATATAGATGCATATTTTTTCCAATACAAATGAGGGTATTTTATTTTTTCTTACATCGAATTTCATTTAAATGAAGGATATACCGTTAAAAAATATAAATGCTTTTACTTACCTGACACTAAATGTAAAACATTTTTTTGGCAAATTTAAGCAGTGAAATTATCTATGATTTTCATGAACGTTTAGCTCCTTTTATTTCAGCTAAAATAAAAGAATAAAACACTTTTTCCTTCATCTTTTTCTTTTCACTTTTTTTCTAAATATTTACGTAACTCCGTAATATTTACGTAATAAGCTCCACTTGATTTAGGAAACTTTAATTAAATTTAAACTCCACATGGAAGGCAAAGTGATCCGGATAACTGGAATTTCACAATCTGGAGTCCAGATAACTGGAGTTCTGTTGCTCTGGTTTTCCTTTTGTATGTCATGTAGATCATTTCTTCACTTGCCTGTCTATCTTTGTCAATAATATTCTAAAGCATATAATAATATTAAAATTCTAAATGCAAAAGCCTGAATTACAGCTATACCAAATTCTAGAAATAATAAATTTGTTTGCAAAAAAAAAAAAAAAAAAAAAAAGATGACGCAAACCCCCCTACTCATAATAAACGAACGATTAAATGCCCAGGCATTAATTTTGAAGCTAAACGAATTGATAGAGCAAAAAGGACGAATTAAATGACTAATTCTTTCAATTAATACTATGACTGGTAACTATAATAAAGGACTCCCCTCGGGAACCAAATTGAGCATTTCTAATTTTAAGTCTGTTATTTCATCCTAACAAAAAAACGTTAATCAAAATACTACTCCTAACCTCGCTAAACATATTGTTAGTTAGGTAATACCCTAAATAACTGTTGTGCTTTTTGAATCAAAATTATCTAATACAAGTTTGTTTGCTAAAGTTATCTAATATCACTGTACTTCAAATAATAACTGTTTAAGGGTTATGCTTTGTAGATTATGTCGTGAACCACACGTTATTTTATTTGTCCCATTTGAAATTATTTTTATGAAGAAAGATAGAATACAACTGTTGGTACATTATGTACTTATAATTCTCTTTTTCTTAAAATTTAGTTTTAGATATTCTTTTTTCATAATACCGTTAAGATTCTAAGTGTAGTCTTTACACTTATTATATTGTGAAGATATCTCTTATTTTAACGCTAACCCATTTGACATATTAATAAAATTCTAAATTGAAGACCCATGCAACACGCAGACGTTGCCAACACGCAGAAATGCAGCAACACAACGTGGCATGAACTTGACTAATGTCTGAAGGTGAGCTGGAGATAAATTACACCATGAATCCTACATGGCAATCCACAAATCCATATGAGTGTCAAATGGTGGAGATCTCTTCTGAAGAGCACATTGCAAGGTATCGCAGACATAGTCATTAATGTTCATGTCTGAAGATCTAAATGGCCAGTAGACGTCTCTAAAGTCAAAAGAATATTCCTGGAACCACTCGGTAGTAACTCCTGGTGTTTGAGGTGTCGCATTGTCCTGCTGGAAATGTACAAGCCCGTCGGAATACACAATGGACATGAATGGGTGGATATGATGTGACAGGATGCTTATGTATCTGTCACCTGTTAGAGTCGTATCTAGTCGTCTCGCGCTAACTGCTTACGCCCCCATACCATGACAGAGCCTCTACCAGCGGCAACAGTCACCTGTTGACATGTTGGGTTCATGGATTAATTAGGTTGTCTCCATACCCATATATGTCCATCCGCCCGATATTATTGGAAACGAACGTCTGTTACGTTTAATGACTTTCATCAGTCATCGTTGGTCCCAATCTTTCACGAGCTTTTTCCGGCCGCAGCAATATTGGATATTTGATGTTTTACCAGATTTCCGATATTCAGTACACTCGTAAAAATGGTGGTATGTGAAAATCCAAATTTTATCATTACCTAGGAGATGCTATGTCCCATCTCTCATGCCCCAACTATAACACCACATTCAAAATACATTTAAATTTTGATAACTTGCCATTCTACCAGTAACTTTGCCAGCACTTGTTGTCTTATATACCCACTGCGACAGCCGTGATTTACTGTGATTGGTTCCATACCTCTGTTATTTGCATACGTACGCCTATACCAATTTTTCTCTACTCTTCAGTGTATAAATACATGTAATAGATTTTAGTATTTCTTACATATACTTCAGTCTTTCCATATTTCGTACTAATCGTATTGTTAAAACTACTACTATCGTTACATAGCTACATGTCATTAAAAATTTCCTGAATTCGAATAAGTTTATCACAAACTCTTTTTTTAACACTTCATAATATGTTTCTTTATTTCCAACTCAGCTATATTGGGAAGGAGTGCAGGATATGACTTTATTTTTTACATTATAGCATCTTCAGAATTTGCCAGTAGTGTTCCATTGCAGAAGCTTCTCGATAAATCCAACTCTAATTTTCGTTTATTTTATTACAACATTTAATATTTATGATCTGCCTTGAAATATTACCAGTGGATATCTACATTTTATTTCAATAAATTCATGTTTCGCAAGTTCATGATCACCATTTAAACACATTTTCATGAAAATACGAAAAGGCAAGTTTATGCTAATCACATGTGATTAAAAAAAGAATTGCATTTCACGCCTGTGCATAGTTCTAAAATTATTTCACATCAATTAACGTATTGATAAGATTGTTTAGCCAATGACATTTATCACGTAATGTTCCCTGTTTCGACAAATGACTTTCTCAACAATCGGAAAAAATTTATCCTTCCATTAGAGGGGGTTACTCATGAGGGGGCGTAGTTTGACAGAGGATGAATAGGGAAATATTCCATCAGTAGGTATTACTGAATAGCGGTACCAGATAATAATCACGCTTAGCATTACTTCTTTCAAAATCTTTCACAATGTATTTCCCTTATAGACGAATATAGTTCTAATGAGTTTTAGGACTAATTATGTAAATTAATTACCACAAATCTGCCACATGATAATTGTAACTGTTTTTCTGTTCTTAACTATGGTACTCAACTTTCGTTTTCCTAAAATACCGTCTGTTTACGGATAGAATTTTCTTTGTAGTTAATCGTTTGCTTTGATCCAGTGAACATCTAGTAGTTCGAAATTTGGGTGCGAAAGTCGAACAAAGAACGGGAATAAAGATTTGCTATAAAACGAGAATTAATCTTTATTGTTTTTCAAATAATTTGGGATGCAAAGAAAACTATGCTCTTTCACTGTGATCCTGAATCAAAACGGCAGTTATCCGCTTGGGATGAAAAGTTAAATGAAAGTCCTAAAGAGAATTCCCCACGTTAGACCTGAACATACTCAATCGAATAGCTGATTTTTGCTCAAAGGAATGAATAATCACACAATTATTTTCTCGTCAAGCAGGTGCAGACATCTAAACGTCACGTCCTTATTCGTCAGATTTGTCTTTGTAAGCTACTTTCGCTCTTAAAATAAAACACTAATCTCAAATGTCTTTATTTTAACAGCACTGAAGAGATTCAGAGACCTCTAACTATAGACTTAAAATGCATTTTAAAAAATAAGTACGACAAAGACATCAAACATCAAGTACCAAGAGTTGTATAGAATTACAATGACTACATACTGATGGCTAAACTTTAAGACTATTGTTTTCTTTAATATTTAATTTTATGTGAATTTTGTCCCATAGCTTTGCAGACGTACTGTCTGTCGTAAAGTTTTTATACATTGAGTAATTTATCATGAAATTTGTTAGCATATGCATAAAAAGATAAAATTGTGAACTGATTTCAGTGTGCTCAAATTATGTCTGTTTTTTACTACGTTGAACTTGCATTAAACTATTGAATTTTTCTTAATTTTCCAAGTTTAACTGCCGATATTTTATGTTTTTTATTATTATCCACCATTCCTTGATATTCAACAAACCTTTTAAACCTGTTTAAATCGAATAATCGAGCCTCTACTATATGCAGTTTGTTCTAAGTAGCTCAGACAATGATAAATACTTACGGCTGAGAATAAGTATGAGCCATCAGTAATTTTACTTAATCCATGTTTCATTAGTCGACTAAATTTTCTTACAAGTAATAATAAAAAAATCGTAATAAAAATATCACAGTCCAAAATAAATTCAGACAATAATTTTAAAAAGGGAAAACGTTATAAAGAAAATATTAATTATATTTTTATTGATTTTAATAAATAATTTACACACACATTCTTCAAAATCTAAAATTACAAATTATGTAAATACATCTTCATAGTTTTCATAGTGTATAATAGTTATTGTCTCGATTTCATAAGGTCACGCTCGCTGTTAAAGAAATACACAGAATAAATGCATGTCAATTTATTTTCGGAAGACAACGTTGCTAAAACTTGGTTAATCTTCTTAAGATAACATGACTGACATATGCTTTGACGAAATTACAAATAAATAAACGATGAAAAAAAGAGGGGACTTAAGAAGTTTTAACTGAGATTTTGAAATTCATTGAGGAAGAAGATACGAAAAACAACAAGTTCTAAAAAGGAAAAAAAAATTAAA